GAGAGTAAATATTTTAGGCTTTGTGGGCCAAATAGTCTCTGTTGCAACTACTCAACTCTGCCATTGTAGCATGAAGGCAACCACAGACAATACATAAGCAAATGGCTTGGCTGTGTTCCAGTAAAATTTTATTTGCAAAAACAAGTGGTGGGACAGAGTTTGCCAACCCCTGCCCTAGATCACTGGACTCCTAAAAACCTCACTAATATGGTGGGCCCCTCAGGGATTTCTCTACCATTCTCCGGAGGACAAGTATCACTTCTTGCTCTTCCAGTCCAATTAACATATCACGGATACAATGGACCAGTGTGATGTCCTGCAGAACGTCCAGATGGTCCAGGTCCCATATACAAAAAGGGCAGAGAGCTAATTTAGTCCTAGGGCAAGACCATAAATGTATATAACAGTCCATCCCATGTGAATGGAAACTGTCTCTGTTCCTCCTCCTTGATTTGAAAATCTGATGGGTTTTATCCAGCACCCTCAGGATCCAGGCCCACGTGTAATCCTCCAGCTCCTATATACTGACTGAGTTTTTGCAACTCCTTTGGTCTGTAGTCCGCTTCCTCTCTGAGCAGGCCCAGCATGTGTCTGGCTGGTTTGTGGTGTGACTTGACCCTATTTATAGGTCTGGTGGTCAGGAGGGGAGGTGGGGATAGATTCCCAAGGGGGTACTATTTCCTTGCTAGGCAGAAGCCTCTGCATTATCTTCAAGCAAGGGGGCAGTGCTAGCTTTTAACAGTGAAGAGTAGGCCACTTCTGCAGGCCCAGAGAATTCAGGGAAATCTGAGGATTCAAGATTTCAGGGGCATCAATCAGGACCACGACCTTGGTGTGGCAGACCCTGTCAGGGTTGAGAATTCAATCTTCCTTGGAGCACTGCTATTCCTATAATTAAGTCCTGGGCCTGATCCTAAGCTTTTTCTGCCACCTGGCTGTAGAATCTCTTTATATGCTGCCAAGGAGGCCCTCTTGCTATATTGGTTATTAATCATCCTCAGCTTTTCATTGTCTTTCTTAATGCATTAATGGTGCCCAGAAATACTCATCCAAATTCCACAGTCCTTATAATAACTATTTTCCCCAAATCACTCAAGCATCTGAGATATTGCCCCTGCCATTGTATTCCCTTCCTCCAGTATCCCATCCCAATTAGCCTCTGGTGTAATTTTTAATAATTACATGATTACAACATTCCAGGTGCTCATTACCAGCTGGCCAGTGGGTGGTTCAGCTCCCAAAACCCTACTTTAGAGCCTCCTTTCTAGAATCACTCCTGGTTTCACAGGTTGGCTTCCCTAAGAAACATAAAGTGAGAGAGACCCTGAGATTTTCATGCAGGAAGTTTATTGAGGATTGCTCTCTGGAACAATGCCTGTGAGCACTGAGGAAAGCAGTACCAGGTAGAGGGAGAAGTTGAACTATGATGAAGTTGCAGCAGAAGCCTCAGCCAATCAGGAGCTCTGGAGCTGGAACACCCCCTGCAGAGTTGTCCCAATTGAGGCAGGGGGTCAGGACCTTGTATTGCCCACATTGACTACCATTGGATGTGAGCTGCTCCCAGGAGTGGGTGTAAACTTGGGTGACACAGTCCTTTAGCCAAGGGCAATTCCTGCAGAGGGACCCAACTATAAGCCATCAGAGGCCAACACTTCTGGCATCTGAGTGCTTTGGTCCCAAGGGAGATCTGGGTGATGCACTACAGACAGACGCCTTACCACCCATTTTGTGGCCACAGGGGAACAGTACCACACTGTGTGGATAGCAGAGCAAAGGATGGAATGAGCCTGAGTCCTTGATGCTATCACTGAGTTTCCAAATCAATCCTGAGATAGCTTATCTCTGAACTTCTTAAGTAAATTAGATGTCCTTTCAGTTTAAGACTCCCTTGGATATTCAGTTACTTGCAACCAAGAGCATTCTAACTCACGCACACATTGTCTCAGTTAACCCTCAATTACTCTGAGGTAGGCAGTATTATTATTATTCTCATTTCAAAATTACAGAAATGAAGTTTAGGGTAACTTGCCCAAGGTCATACAGCTAGAAATTGGTGGAGCCCAATCTAAAACTTAGTGCTATCTAGATCCAAAGTCCATGGTCTTCACCCTTTTATAAACATCTATGTGACAGCTGGTCAAACTGGGAGGGGTATGTGACCATTCCCCAGATATGAAGGGAACGGTAGCCTGTGTGTAGCTAAAGATCCAATATGGACCAGAAGAGCTACCCTCAAAAAGCTCACTGTCCCCTGACTTGGTGCAGTGGATTGAATGGTGGCTCCCAAGATCCTATGTCCATATCCTAATTACCAGAACCTGTAAATATGACCTTGTGTGGAAAAAAGATCTTTGCAGATGTCATTAAGTCAAGGATCTTAAGATGAGGAGATCACCTTGGGTTATCTAGGTGGGCCCTAAATCCAATGACAAGTATCCTTATAAGAGTCACACAGGGGAAACTGATAGACGACCAAGAGGCAATGTGACAACAGAGGCAGAGATTGCAGTGATACAGCCATAACCAAGGAACCCCTTAAGTTACCAGAAACTGAAAGAACAAGAACAGAATCTCCTTAAGAGCCTTCGAAGGGAGCACGACCCTGCCAACACCTTGATTTTGGACGTCTAGCCACCAGAACAATGAGGGAGTAAATTTGGGTTATTATACACCACCATGTTTGTATTGATTTGTTACGGCAGCCTCAGGAAACTAATATACCTGTAATCTTTCTCTTTTATTCTAAATACACTTATTTCCCTTTCTCATGTAAAGGTGATCAGTATATCTTTCTTCTAAGTTTGGTCGAATATATTCCTTACATCCTAAATTTCTATTGAAATCCTTCATACTTTAAGGATTAAGTATAAACTACTTCCTTAGTAGATGTTGAGGCACCTGTGGAGATGTGAGTAAGCATTTTCCTGGGAAGAAGGTTCATAGCCATTATATTCTCAATAGGGTCTCCATAGGATCCAAAAACTTTAAGAATTTCTGAGAATGAGTCTGGGCAAAGGGAAGAATGAGAGGCAGCTGAACTCGGAGAGAAATGAGAACAAAGACAATGAAAAATACAGATTTCCAATATTTGGAAGCAGGAAGAACCCAGTGTGTCTGGTTAGAAGGCTGGAAATCCATGTCTTTAGAAATAAGCTCTGGTTTCCTCATAAACACAGGTAAGGGAGCAGAAGTTACAAAGGTTTTGCAAAGGAGACTGCACAAAGCAAAATCTACTCAGCCCCAAGTCTCAAGGAAAGGAAATGCTCTTCCTGGACAGAGTGTTAGGACATTAGAGAGAAGTTCAGATTTCTGTAGTTAAATCTTGCAGGTGATTGAAAAAGGTAAATTCTGTTTCAATGACAAACAAGTAAAATGCTGTCTCAATATAATATTTCTAGTATATTAGGGAGAAAAAGCAGGTTACTAAATGTAAAGAATGGCATGAGCTTAAGTCTCACTCTAAAAAGGACAGGACACATTTTCTGAGCCTGTCTCAATGAAAAATTGTGAGATGAAATTTAGAGGATTTGGAACAAGTCTTTAGAATCTTGGCTGCTAAAACCACAAGCCCCAAATGACAGCTGCTCCATGAAGTACCATGCACACTGCCTCGCAGGCAGTAAATGGGCCGGAATCACCTGCATTAGTCCCCCATGAAAGTCTTTGAGATGAGGGTGGAGTGAGGGTGGGGATAGAAGAGGGCCGAGTGTTGTGAGAGCAGCTCTGCTTCCCAGAGGATTGGAACAGAGTCCACACAGCCTTCCGTAACAAAACCACAAAGTGTTTTCATACAAATTCCTCACAGGTGTTGACAGACCAGGCCTGCCTGCTCCTCTGCTAGCCCTGAAAGGAGCAGGCGAAACCTGAAGCCTGCTTTTCAGCACATCGTTACAATTCTAACCACAAGAAAACATCCTTCACAAAACAGGAACCTGTCCTTCAAAATTTCACAGACTACAAGCTTTCCTGCCACACATCTGGGATATAACATCCAATAGCTCATTTGCAACCCATTACAATAAATGTTTTAAGAGCTCAGGAGAAGCAAAATGCATATATATATAAAATGAGCCACAATTGCTAAGGATTCTGCTCTAACATGGATTTCTTCTCTGAAGCACAGTGTTTCTAAAATTTACATGACCAAGAGAATGTCAGGTAAGAAGGGCCTAAGTAAGTTTTTTGTTGTGCTTGTTTGTTTTTTTAGGAAAAATCATATTAGACTCTACATTCCTCTTTGAACGGAATTACCAAATCAGCAGAGGAATAAAATGTACTAGCCATTTGGCCATGCAAGTTACACGATGTAGAGCACATTTTGTAACATGAGTACTCAGTATAGCACTCTCTTTACCAAATTATTTCATTCTTCTTATCTCATGTTCTTTCCAAGCAGGGACTAGCTTGTAAATGGCCTCCAGCATCTTCTAGGGTTTGCTGCTCTCAGACCTCCCATCTCTCATCTCACCCACAAAATCCAATGATGACTTTCTACTTGGATCTAATAACAACAGAAAGGAAGGCAGAATATTTCATTTAACAAACATACAGAAATTTCTATGTATCAGGCATAAATACTACCATAGCCCTTTACAAATACTAACCCATTTAATCCTCAAAAAAACCTGTGAGGTAGGTTCTATTTTTGCCTCCATTTTACAGATGAGGAAACTTGTCATATAGCTGGTAAGAGGTGGATCCAGGACTTAAATGAGTTTTTGAAATTAAACACTACACCACGCTACCTTAAGTAGTAGTATTATAAAGGTGAATGAAGCAGAATTACCAAATAATACTAAGTGCTCATATGTAAGCAATTATTAAAAAATGGAGATTAAATAAATGAGGATTTAAAAAATGGAGGAAGGTTATCTAGAATGTTTATGTGGACAGGTTTTCATCATGGGCTTCTAAAATTATAGTTTACTAAGCTTTATGATATATACAATAGTAGTATTAGTCAATTGATATAAAGATAAACACCACTCAAATCTGTATGCATCTTTAAATCATCAATTATATTTATTTCTCTGAAAATAGTAATAAATGTTCACATTTGGAAGATTCAGAAAATTACATGGCAAAAAATAAACATCACTCATAATCCCACCATCCAGAAATCATCATTGCTGATATTTTCATATATCTAGTCTTCTTTCTATATACATCTTCATCCATCTGTGTCTTGATTTAGCATTTATTAAATGTGGCTGTTTGTGCCAAAGTGATGCATTATTCAAAGGAAAACAATTTACACTTTTTCTCGGTGCCCCAATGTGTACTAAATATTCTCTAAGAGTTGTGTAAGTCATAAAACCAATGCATTAAGATTACAAAAGTACTTTTAGAGTACAAATAAACTCCCAATGATACATTTGCTACAGCATTTTTAAATATTCAAATATTCAATACAATTGAAGTCATAATGATGATATTTTTCAAAATACGATTTTGTCATTATATTTTCTGCATTACCCAGAAGCAAAGTTTTAACATCAGTAGGATGAAACTTGCTTCTTAAACTTGTGCACAAATTAATTGATATGACACCTCCATTAATTCATAAATATTTTCTTAGCGAATTGATTCTAAAGCTTCTCTAAGATAGGAAGGCACAAGATAACTAAAAAGAAATACTGATTTATGATTAAAGAAATACTGCTCAGCATTTGTGAAGTAAATTGCATCCATAAAGCGTGTCATAATTACTAATCACAAAACACCTTGCTGAGCTAGGTGTAGAAGAATTCTTTTATAGGATGAAAATGAACACTATCAATTAACATACGAGGTTGAAAATTTGCATGGCTACTGGCTATGACTGCCAGCATCACAAGTGGCTTAAGGAACTCCTCAGCTGAGAGTGGACTCCCACTGGTGGCTACAATGTCACAGCCTTGAAGTCAGCTTCCTCTTGACGGTACCAGTAATTCTGCCATATGGATTATCTAATGGTAGCAAAACCTGTAGAAAAACCACATGATAACATCAGAGGCATTAAAATAGACCTCTCCTTTTTTCTATGAATCAATATTAAATCAAAAACAAAAACGACAACTTGCTAAACAGGAAAATGTATAGTCCCTATAATAAAGTTACTTCAAGCATAGTAATGTCTTATTTTTCTGGCAACAGTTGAGAGATGAGGTGATTTTCCAGAAAAGTAAAGAGTTTTTAAAAAATTTTTATCATTGGGATATAAATGTTTCTGAAATGCATTACATACCCCTGCTTTTTAAATGGAGTGTAGTGAACATAATTTGGCCTTTGCTTGATGACTCATTTGGACATCCGTCATTGTCCAATGCTCTAACACCGCCATGCCCTCAGGAGCATTTGACGCCCTCGGGGCTGTTAGCCCAATGCTAAATGGCTCCAGATAGCTGTGCATTTAGAGTTCTTCTGTCTTCTCATTCTGTCATTTGTCACTTCTCTGCTGTTGTCAGTGTGTCCTGACTCCCTGCTTCTCATTTGTTGCCTTTACTTCGTGATACTTGCTGGGTGAGGACCTGAACATGGCTCCAGCCATCCCCAAAGTGCAGACACGGACAGGGGGACAGCTTGTTCAACCACTCAGGTGCCTTCATGCAGAGCCCTGGCCCAAAGGAACTCAGGCGCTCCTGCCTCCAGGTCCCCACTGGGCTCCAGGAGGCAGCTTCGAGCCTGAATTCTTAGAGCAAGGGACACTGCGGCCTCAGCCCACCGGCAAGCCTTCGAGCTGGGATCAGCACAGCCCTACGGCGTCAGGGGGCCCTGAGGAGACCCTCCTCTCTCTGCTGGGCGTCCTGAGTTAAGCACTGCTCTGGTTATGATGCCTGACCCTTCTTCTGTTTGGGGCCCATTTGTTTCACCTTTGGTAGACATGGCCAGGATTACTTTCAGGTCCCTCTCCTGCCCTTTAGAAAGTAATCATTTAAAAAAGGTTTTACGTTCTATTTAACAGCATGCTGGTAATCAATATCCTTTCCTTTCTCCGAGGTAGAAAGTGCTGCCCCTCCTTTCAGCTGAACGAACAGCGAGTGGGATCAAGGTTGCTCTCCTCTGTGCCTCAGGGCGCTCTATCAGCTGTACCAGGCACCTGAGCATGACCTTTGTTTCACAACACTGATCGGCAGCCCCACCTACAGCCGTGGTGGTGCAGAGCCTGATGGAGCCAACAACATAATTTGCAGAACAGGAACGAGGTGCCTACCCAGAGGGGTGTGACCAATAAGGCTCCTGGGTCAGCAGGCCCATATGTAGGACCTTCTGGACACCCTTGCATTGGCCTTTGTCCACCAAAGAATATGATTCCACGGCAGCAAAGCCACATTAATAGGTGACCCCTCCCTATCTTACTCCTCCCACACATTAAAAGAAACTACCAAAATGGTGTTTTTCAACTTTTAGAAGCCTGTGGAAGGCTGGATCAAATACAGAAATCCTCCATTCTAAGAGTGGTCCACAGCCAGAGGGACAGCTCTGATCTCGCAGGACTGAACACAATAGGCTGTCTAGTCAGACACACTGACTTACGTTAACCTTCCTCCGTGGCTAAAAACAAGTCAGGGTAAGTGCTTTTTCCAAAACAAAGTGTCCTTTCAAAAAATGAACTTCCTCATCTTGCCTTCAGTAATTGCAGTTAGAAACACAAATCCTCTTTCATTCTTTTTATGTATATTGTATGCTACTCAAATGGACTACTTAATCAAAAGTTAGAGATGATGGAAGAAAATGAAAATAGAATCTTGTTTTTCTCCTCATCGCCTCATGATGGAAGAATAACAAAGCTGTGACCTTGTGTGGCACTTTCCGGAGAAGTAGATCTCAGAGCTGTTTCCTTGGGCACACTCTGTGCTTTCTGTGTCTTTCACTGTTTGCACTTCCAACCCTCCTCTATAATCATCCACTTCTTGGGTACTCAGCCTCAGGTACTGAAAGGCCCAGAGTCTAAGAGGGCTCTAATCAGCGGCGACTGAAAATATTTCTAAAGCAACAGCTGTTAAAAGTTTTGGTCGGTGATATTATCATCCCAAGTTTATAAAGAGGGGTAAGAGAGTGGGTGGAGGGGAGAAAGTGTGCTTTAAATATTTTTAAAGTTCTCTTACCTCTTCGTTGTTGATCAGTCCCATTTTGGACATGTCTATGTTAAAGTAGTGAATGTTTGGCAGGCTGATTTCCATATCTTCTATCTGGAACTCACAACAATATGTATCACATTGGGCAACAGTGAATCTCTCTCTTCATCACTCCTCCCCCATCCCACTAGCCCATTACTCAGGCTCTACCTCTGTCTCTGAGGTTCCTCTCCACCCTCCTCCACAGCCTCTGATGTTCCTCTACTGCTCGACACTGTTCTCTCCTGCTAGCCCTATTATTAGATGGTGGACCCACTCTTCTTCCCTTCGTGTACAAAATCTGTTTCTCAGAAAAGTAAGAGATCCTTGGGTCAGAAACCTGGGAGAACTTCAGAATCCAACTGGCCTCCTGGTGCTGGCCAGTCATCCTCCTAAATTCCTCCTCAGTCATTCCCTCCTCTCCAGACCTGTCCCTAACATTTGCAGGCCCTGGAGTAAGAATATAATTGGAGGCCCATATACCAAATGCTTAAAGATTTAAAAGTCATGAATCAAACTAAAAAACTTTTAAGTAAAATATGCTCTATCCTTCTAACTTGACAAATATACCTTCATAACAACCTGGAAGGCCAGGATCTAATTTAAAGTTCTCTTATTCCTTGCAGTGCCATGCCAGGACACAGGAAGGGCCAGCCCCTAGCCCCTGGCCCCTGACTCCTGGCCCATCCTATCTTCTCTCTGTCCATAAGAGTAGACGCCTCAGCTTGCATGTCCCATCCATACCTCCTGCAAACATCTGCCCCTTTGCCCACTCTCAGGCCTAAGGGTGTACTCAGTAATGGCATGATCTGCCCTCCAGAGGATGGATCTGGGGAGGAGGCTTGCACAGGTTCTGGAAGTAGTCTCAGGGTTATTTGGGTAGGAAATTCTGGGGTTCAGGTATCCAGAGAATGGTCTAGAAGGGGATGCATGGACCCCTGAAGGGTTTATTGCCTTGGCCCCACTGACTCTTCATCCAGTGGAGACAGGCATAGCCAGAGGAAGACCTGAAGGGAGCCTCTGAAGTGCTGGGCTATGGAGGGAGTCCCTCCTGCCCAGGTCTAAAGATAGTACTTTTCCTCTCCATTCCATCACGGCCTTAGTCTGGCCCTCCTTATCAGATTTCTGCAACTGCCTCCTAACAGGTCTCCTTGTCTGGGGTCCATCCTCCTTTTAATTTATCATGCTTCTTTCAAAGTGATATTTTTAGAATGCAAATGTGGTAGCACCACACCTTACTTAAACCCCTCAGTGACTCCTAAGAGCTTTCAGGATAAAGTACAGACTCTATTAATAAGCCCACAAAGGCCCTCCTGATCTGGTTCTTGCCTTATCTAGGCACATGGAAAGACTTGCACTCCTGGAGCTTCACATATGGCAGACCCTCAACAGTAAATAATTGTTCCATGCTGCCTCCTGCCTCCATACCTACCTTGCTCCCTCACCCTTGAGTGTGAACCCAGATAACCTCTACTTGTCCCTTAAGATTTAACTCAAACACCTCTCCCTCCAGAAAGCCTTGCTGACCCTATCCCTAGACCTGAGTTAGGTGCCTTCTTCTGTATTTTCATAATACTCTATTCTCTATTGTATTGTTAGTTTACTTTTTTTCTTTCACTGGATAATGAGCTCTTTGAGGATAGAGACATAAAAACCATTCAATGATATCAAATGCATGGATGGATGGATGGATGGATGGACGGATGGATGGATGGATGGAATCTGTCTGCATCCATCCTTCATTCTCTGGCTCCCCTGAAACATAGATTCTTGGTCTAATTACCCCTCTTTCAAGGCATTCGAGTATCCTGAATATGAGGCTTAAATTGTGGCAGGTTGAAGAGACCCAAAGAATTTTCAAAAAAACTCAAGAACTACAGCAGTGGCCGGTATTTTCAGGTTGGACAGATTTTTCCATTTTTTGCTCTCTTCTCACTTGCTATAACAAGCTTTTGAACAACAACAGATGTCATTTTTCATGTGTCTTCCACTTTCTTATTTTAACTCTCAACTCTTTCTCAGAGCTGACAGGAGACACAACAAGCTCTCTCAGTCCTCAGAATGGCAAATGACAAAACATACCTCAGGAACCTGGCTCAGGGAGAGCACCTGGATGTCATAAAGGGTCTTCTGGACAGAGGGAGAGTACTCGCCTTTGTCATAGGGTCCAGCAAATTTCTCTAGGATAATGTCCTGAACTGTGTCCCTAAAACACAAAAAAGAGAACCAAGGGCTCTTACAGGGTGGTCTTTTAGAATGTATTATGAAGCTAAGAAGGGATGACCATTCTGTTCCCCAGAAAACAATTTTATTGCTGGTTTTAGAAGAGATTAATATCTTGTAATGCCAAAAACAAAAACAAAACCCCTCACTTCCTCTTCCCCTACACACACACACCATTCAACAAACATATTGAGCATCACTAGGTGATCTTCATAATCTGGCTCAGGGCCCAGTGGGCAATGCAGGGTAAATCTCCCTCCATGTTTGAAAAACCTATGACGAGGACTCCCAAGTACTCCTAACTCTCTTACTGCTCGGCCTGGTTGGTTCCTTGAGTTTTTATATATTTAGAGGTTTTATTCTGTGCCAGGCTCTGTGCTAAGTATTTTATGTGATTACTTCCTTGAATTCTCTCAATTTACCTGAGGTAGGTACTATTATCCCCAATTTAGAGATGAGGAATCTGAGTTTAAAAGTTAAATCATCCTCTCTAAGTCCCTCTTTTAGGTGGGAGGCACAACTAGTACCCTGACTCTGGTATGCTCCATTTCCTGCTCTCTTCAACATAAATACATCAGGCCACTGTCCATGGGGAAACACTTGAAATAAAAGAGGAAAAAGAAGATCGAGGTGAGGTTCTCGTCAAACATTTTCCAACCTATCACATAATAAAAGGAGTAGAGCAAAACTATACCAGTGGGAGGAAACTATAGGGTGGGGGGCAGATTCCAGCTCAGTATAGGGTAGAAGTTTCTAAACAGAGCTTCAGCAAAGGAATGAGATGCCAGGTCAAAAAGCAAACTCTGGGAGTCCAGGGGCCTAATTATTGTCAAGGATATTATAATCATCATCATACCTTTACATTTTTAAGGCATTTATCATTTATAAAGTGTTTCCGTGAATGTCATCTCATTTTGAGTTTAGCCTATGGTGACCCAACTGTCCCAGTTTGTCTGGGACCATGGAGTTTCCTGGGACATGGGACTTTCAGTATTAAAATCAGGAAAGTCCTTGGTAAACTGGGACGAGTTGGTCACCCTAGTTTAGCCCTCTCTACATCTAGGATGAGGGAGTGAGACCAAATATCATATCCTCACTTGATACAGTGGTTCTTACAGTGTGGCCCCTGGTCAAGCAGCATCTGCATCACCTGGGAGTTTGTTAGAAATGCAAGTTCTCAGGCCCCACCCTAGACCTACAGAATCAGAACCTCTGGGGTGGGCCCAATGCTCTGCATTTTGACAAGCTCTCCAGGTGATCTGATACACAATGATGCTTGAGAACTACTGATTTAATCAATTAAAAAACAGAGAGTCAGGGAAATTAGGTGGTCCACTCAAGGTCATTATAGCTAACAGCATCTAAGATTCAAGTGCAGATTTACTAACTCAAGGTAAGACAGTGCTCTTTCTGTTATCCAACAGAAGGGATTCTGAACAGTGAGGAGGTTGAATTGAACGGCCTCTAAGTTTCCCTTTCAGATGGAAGAGTCCGTGAACTCTGGGCCTCTGGGAGGAGGGCAGACTCTGTTGGCATAGCACCAGGCCCTAGCACCTGCTCATACCAGGTAGCGTCAAACTCCACGTCTCTGCACTGGTGGTAGCGCCACTTGCAGTACACTTGGGTGGCAAAGCACCGGTCCTTCACCTCAGGGAGGGTGGTGAACTGGTCCTTGATGAATCCTTCAAATCCAGACTGGGTGGTTTTCAAGACCTTGAGGCCTTTGATTCCAGAATGAATGACTGGAGGTGCTGTTTTAAGTAAAAAGGTAAGAGGGGATGAAGTTATAAACAAAACAGAGCATTTTCACTGATATCTACTTCTGAGGATCCTGGTTATTACCACACGGCATATTATGTTTGTATGAAGAACTACATCATTGCCCTTGTTTTCTGTCTCCATGCCTCCTCTGAAGTCCAAGTGATTAGGACCATGTGCCTTTCCCTCTCTGGATTCCGTGGCTCCCTGCCCCCTCATGCCCTAGGAGAACTGAGGGTCAGAGAATAAACCTCCACGTTGCAGTGAAGCCCACAGAAATGAATACCTTTCTCTCAGCTCTCTGCAGGGGTGTGTTCTAGGCCAAATTACCTTCCATGTTTTGAGCTCTGTCTCACTCAACAGGCGATCATGCCAAAAGGAGTTAATAAGCTTCTCAAGCGTAGTTCCTCTGTCTGCTATTTTGACCGCCTTTACTGGGGGTTAGTCCTCATGTTGATGGTCTACACTGGCTGATGTCTGCAATCTCCACCAGACCTTGATGGTGTCTCAGTTCCCTTGTGGTTATGAGCTCAGTAAAACCAGACAACTTCATGAATAGGTAGCAGCATGGGCCTGGCTGAGCCTAAACAGAGACTGGGAACATGAAACCAGTGACTGGCAAGGTATAGATCTGCCTATGTGCATACCCATAAAGACTCTGGGTTTTGACTGAATTGAAAAGGGACAAAGTTGGCTCATGGGACCTGTGGGAGAGAAGGGCGAGTTGAACACAATGGAGGAGATGATATGGCTCTCTAAGTGACCTCATGAGGTGAATGCGGGAGATGGAGGGGTGACAGGCATAATCTGAAGAAGCTGCTTCCTTGTGTGCCAGGTGTTCTAGCTCAGGGTCCAGGTGACAGGTGGGGCACAGAGTTAGGGAGAAGAAGATTCTCTCTTTCTTTTTCTATGTGGAACACACTGTAGCTCCAGCAGTTTGGTGAAGCCTGAAGAGAACATGGCTGCCATGTGACACACTGGGAAGCCCCAGGGTACAATGCTTACTGGAGAGCAGCATCCTTCCCAAGCAGCAGTGGCAACTGGCACAGTAAATGCTGGGCAGAGCTAGTATACTCAATGGGTGCAAGCTTCTCCCTCAGCACATGTGAGACAGCCCCTCCAGGCTGTCAGAGGGTGGGAGAGTTTGGCTGGAGACGTCCAGCAGTTTTGTAATGAGAGAGCTAACAAGGCCAGGAAAAATCAGAAATGAACATCACCATGGCCTTACTGGTATGCATAGGCTGATGAGGCTGGACATTCAGGGGGCACTTGGGTACAAACCCCCAATAGCACAGTGCCATGGCAGGATGACTAAGGTCACCGGTTTGTAATTCCAAAGTTAGTCCTGATTAATATGTATCCTTCTTGGCCTGTTGAGTATATAAATCAAGGGCCGAAGGTGTCAGGCATCACTATTTGTACATGGTCTTAGTTGAAGAACAACAATGTCACTCATGGTCCTCAATGAAAATCCAGGGCAGCTCTTAATTATCCAATGGTTTCTATCACCTGTGTGGTTTCAATTGCTGTGGTTAACTGAGGAGTTGTGGAGTTTCAGAAGTAGGTAAATAATGACTATATTTTAATATTTTCGCAGCCACGTGTGTGCATCTACCAGAGAGAGCAATGGCCAGTGGTTAGTGGCAGCTGTGCTAATTAAATATATGCTAATTAAATAAGGTGTTCTGGCCAGAGTGTTCTAGTGTAGTGCAGCAAAACAGAAATGGTAGTTGTTTAACATTCTGAAATTCTCATTGGAAGTGATATTTGAAGAAGGATCAAGAGAAAGACACCAGCAATGCCTTAATGCCTTAAGTTGATGGGGTTTATCAGATTCTACATGTATAAAGACATGGTTCTGCAAAATCAGCGTTTCTAAATTCACTGTAGAGCTGATCCAAGTGAGCCTAAGTCTCAAACCCAAGAGAACTGCAGAAGCAATCAATAAGTATCTGTTGAATGAATGAATGAATGAGTGAGTGAGTGCAACAAGATTGATTCACGTCAAGGAATAAGTATCTCACAACTAGTCTCTTTTCTCCTAGACAGTTCTCCTCCATTAATCTTTATCATTTGCCTTCCTGATCACCCCCCACCCCAACTCTAACACACAATGTGGCAGGCAGGGAGAGGGAGAAGGTGAACATTAGCTAAGAATGTCCTGACTATTGAAATAGATTTGGTTGCTGCCTTTTTCAGTCTTTATTTACTTAATCTTCACAACTCTATTACGTAGGTATTTTTATATAGGCGACTTTTAATCATTTGTCCAGTCACATGGCTAGAAACAGGCAGAGGTAGAGTTTGCACTCAGCACCCAATTATGAGATTCCATCCTTTTCTTTCTTCTTTTTTGGACCACTCCCCATCCATACAATGTTTCCTCCTTCCTTTAACTCTCCCCATTTCTTTACAATAAGTGGCCTTTCCAGGAGAAAAGAAAGTTGCCACCTCCCATTCCACAGTGTGCTTTGAGGCCTCAGACAAAGCTCTCAGCCTGAAAAATACCATCTCCATTGGTTAAATGGAAATTGAAGCATCACTTTTAAAAATGGCCCCTACATGTCTTGAAAATTTTTTATTCTTTAAAAATGTCCTATTGGAATACAAAAACCCCTTAAAGAAGTGACTCTTTAAGCCTTTATAAACTAATATCATTATTCACTTCCAACAGTAATTCCTTCTAGAAAAAAAAAACCCTATAAAAATGAAACATGGTTTTGCAATCAGGACTGGGGTTAGAATGAGTAGTGGGAACCCCTGAAGAGGGATAAAGAGAAGGTAGAGGAGAACCAAAGGCAAACTTTACCTATTTCATCTTTTCCTATACAGCTGGCCTTGACTGCCAGCATCTATGTAAGCCAACCAGACTTTGGCTCCCCCAATGATCTTAATCATAAAAGGATTCCAAACGCCATGATGTGTAGCGGTTGAGTCCCCAGCCTTGGGACTCAGATTCCCCGAATTCACTGCCAGTTTGTTTTGTGCCTCCCCTCCCCTATTTATGAGCTCTATTCCCGTGAGAAAATTACTTAACCTCTTCCTACCTTGATATTTTCATCTGTCAAATGGAGATAATCATACCTATATCTGAGAGTTGAGAGAGGTCTAAGATAATACACATAAAGAACTTAGTAGAGTGGCTGCCCCATGGGAAAGTCTCTGTAAAAGTTATTACAATGATTTTGCCACAACTGACTTTTTGTTATCGACGCCAACCACCTGTAAATATTTCCTATGTTTCGCAAAGGCTCATTGGGTTCTGAGAATTACTTCTGTCATGCCGTCCCTATCCACCTCCAGCCCCGGAATGAGATTTATTGATCTTAGGGGAGTGTCAGTCCTGCTAGGCTACTTTGAAATGAAATCTACTTTCTTGCTAGAATCTGAAAATGGAGAAAGCAGTTGCATTTTCTAATGTGTTTTGGCCTCAGTTTCACACAGAATAAAATGTCTCATGTTCCCAAAGACAATTAACTATTGCCACAGTTTTGGCAGAATGCAAACCATCTACTCTGGTGCGCTCATCATCCTATGAACAACAACAACAAAAAAAACACCTCTTCTCTTGGTGAAAAATATTTTTCCTTGGCACACATTAGACACTCCAGATGAAATCAGAGAGCTTATTTTATCTTCTCTGTTGGCGGTGCCCCAGCTCTGAGCACTGGTAAGAACCTGAGCCTTTCAAATTCATGGGCCCATCAACTAAAAATATGATGCCTCAAACACTCTAAAAAAGATTCCAATTTAGACTAACAAGAAGTAATTCAACCAAAAAGACTGTCCTTTTCTAGGTTACTTCCCATGAAACCACTTAATCAGCTTTTTTTTGCCTTCCTGCCATGGTTATGGAATAACGCAAAAGGAAAATTTTCACATTTTACTTTGCTAGAACATAATTTTTTCTAGCTTTTAGTGTCCTCCTACACACTTAACAGATTGTGGTTTATCTCTCAGAGAAGCATACATCTTACCCTTTAGCTCTCTAAGGGAAAGAAACTCACTGCAAATTAATGGAAAATAAGCCAAATTCCTTACCTACGCATCAGGTGTCACAAAGCGCAAAGCTTTACTGAGCCAAGAAAAAAATCCTGTCATGAAGAGGATAATTGCTTCCACGTTTAACACCTCCAAGAAGGACACAAATAGCTAAAAGGAGGATATTTTAAAACTATATTAAATCATTCTAGGAGAAAACCTCAAACTCGTAAAGTGCTAGAAAAAGTGAAAATCAATTAATATCATTTGGTTTTAAGAGGCCATTTAGCTCACGCTGGGAGAGTAAAAGCTCCCTCTGTGCAATTCTGGATGGAGAGAGATGACATCATCCAGATGGAAGGAAGTTTGTACAAGGAGGTGATGATCAAAATGATTTTAAAAGACCTTGTGTTTGCCAAGAACTTATCTTTTGGAGTAACTGAAGAGTGCTTTAGTCTTGATATCAAAAGGACATAAGCAGCCTTCTTAGCAATGGCCATCTCGGGGTCTCCCACTTTCCCCATCTCATTTCTTCCATCTGCCCAACTTGACACCTCTTAAATCTATTCTCCACTAGGACTTCGATTTCATCAACCCCCTTCCTTAAAACCATCCTCCTAGCCCCACTAGACTCCACGTCAATAGATTTTTTTCACTATCAGAAGACAGTATCTCTTATTTGAGATCTCTTCTCCATCTTCCATTCCTCTACTTAGCTATGCTTTGGTTGAATTTTTATAATTAGTATCAGATTGGGAGAAATTTGATCCTTAAAGAATTGTGAATTATAATTCAAATATTGTGTGTGTGTGTGTGTGTGTGTGTGTGTGTGTGTGTGTGTTGGGGGGATGCTCTGCTTAGTTCAATTAGTTCAAATTAATGACTCAACCATCTCAGTGACTTCAAGGCTTGGCTAAGCTTGTAGTTCACAGAGACAAATGAGAGAGAGAGTTTGAAAGATCCAGGTTCCTTATAACACCTAAACCCACAGCTTGCATCACACATGCAGAGCCTAATTCTCCACTCCGAGCTTGGGAAGTCACAAACATAACGCCAGTCATTTCTTTGGGTGAACGAATGTCTTTCTTTCTTCCAGATTCTTCCATGGAAATAGCAGACTTTGAAACAGCTAAAAGTACACTTAATGATGTAGCTTTAAAAGATCCACTAGAAAAATTAGTGTAATGAGAGCTTTACGGGAATTCTCAGGGCCTAAAATGGTGCCTGAGATTTTGTAGGCTTTCTATAAATGTTTGTTCAATTGATAAGAATGAATCCAGTTCACCAGGAGAAACCCAGTTACATAATCTGCTGGGAAAAGTCCCTTTCAGAAGTTGCATGGCTGAATGTGTGATTAAGTACATGTGTTTGAGGGGGCAGAATTCTCACCATCCTAGCCAGGCCCCCACCAAAAACCCTACTTAGAGGTTTGTAACAACAGCCCTCACCATGTGAATTGGCGTGTGTGTGTGTGTGTGTGTGTGTGTGATGATTATTTTCTTCAGTTAAGTGTATACAGCCAGGGCATCTTTGGTGACAGTGATTGTACATTGACTCACCTCACAATATCTGCGGTTTTAGTTCCTGGATAATAAGCGAATTAAGAATTAAACTTTGCTACCAAAACAGCATAGATCTCTACTCTCCAAAGAGGGACAGAGTACAAATGTCATCTTCATTCACACAACATAGGAAGATACACTCATATACGTGTGCACACACTTAAGGCAACAGATGCCTCTTCCCCTACCCTGATCCCTGCCAGCCCAGCATATCAGAGGGGCGCTGGACTCGAGATGAGTCAAGCTGGAGCTTTTGGGAACACTGCCACAATGATCACAATGCCCTGCATCTTTGTTGCTTTCTGCAGAAAGAAAAAGCTTTGGCCTGATTATGATGATTAGTTTTTCCACCCTGCAGCAGCCAGGTGACTACAATTCAGCCTGATGATAGCTCCTGATAATTCCTAGAAAGAACAAGGCTATGAAGAGCAGCGTGTTTTCTTCTTATGATCAGCAGAGCCCTATACTTGGCCACTCCACTTCCACCCCCAGAGCTCTGCTAAAATATTCTTGCAGAGGTCACCAGTGATGCCTGTTTGCCAAACTGCACACTTTCTCTTCAGTCTTCCTTTAACACAGCTTCTTAACCGACACAGACTGCTAGCTGTCCACTAAATCTATCTACTCTTCCTCCTAGGTACCTGGCTAGACTACATTTCCCGGCCGTCCTTGCAGTTAGGTATCGCTGTGTGATTGGGTTCTCTCCGGTATAAGTGCTATGTGCTTCTTTCAGGCCTGGTGTCATGCTTGATGTCTCCTCCTTTTGCTCCTCCAAACTCTTTTCCTCTCCTGATTATCTGGTACAGGGATCTACTCTCAAGGTAACCCCGAAAAGTAAGGATTAAAAATGTATGGTTGCATCAACCCAGGTTCCTGAATAACTTCCTGGAGCACAGCATGCCCCCAAAATACACACACACACACCCTGAATTGGACTTGTAAAAAGAGAAGTAAACTTCTTGTGTGGAGCCCCTACCGATGAGCCTATTTGTTACCCCAACAACTATCCCTGATTTCTTGAAATGTATTTTTCTTTTGCTTCCATGACACTACTGTCTCCAATCCTCCTATCTCACTGACCATTCTTCTGTCTCACTCTTTACATTGCCCAACCCTTAAACTGGGGAATTTTCCCCAGACCCTCTCATCTTTCCTCTTCTCCCTTTATATGTTTTTCTGGAATGCTCCTTCTTCCCCATGGCTTCACCTACTACCTACTGTTGATGGTCTCCAAATCTATCTCTATCCCTCATTCCCAAACTCACCAGCTTCCCCCGGAAGACTTCCTCTTCTCCTGTATCCTCCTTAGTCAACTCCTCCAGGACCCCGACTTCAGGGTATCTTTAACCACCCTCTTCTCTCTAACCTCCCATCCCTACTCAACCACTCAGACCTAGTAAGTACACTTCAGAAATGTCTCACATGATGCCCCTCTGCCCCTGCAGTCTCTCCATTTCTACTTCTACTGCCTTAGTTCAGACTCCATCATTTCTTCCTCTCTGCAACAAGTCTCCAAATGTGTCACTACTGCCTGTTTCTCCAGCCAGTTCACCATAACCTTGCTCAGAATTACTGAATAGTACACACATACACAAAAAGAGCTTTTCTGGATCTGTATTGTCATTCTAAATAATAATAATAGCTGTCATCTAAGGAGGGCTTCTATGTGCCAGGTACTGTGCTAAATGCTTTACATTAACATTTATCTCCTTTAATTCTCTGGACAATTGTTAAGGTGGACACTGTTATCCTCCTCTTGAAAATGAAAAACCACTGAAGTAGTGTATGTAACTTGCTCACAGTCACAAAGTTATTAATTAGTGGACCTCAAATTCAAATATAGTTTAGTCTGATTCTAAGACCTATGGGCTTAACTACCGTGCGAAACTGCCTCCAAGTTACACCAATCGTGTTAGTATGGCACGTGAGGGCCTTCAAAATCCAGCCAAAACCAACCTCTTCATCTTCTTCTCTGATCCTTACATTCTAAGAGCTAGACCCTTCGAACTTGCTACCATTCCTCAAATGCCTTGCCATTTCAACACTAAAATTATTGGCCCAGTATGGAGGTCAGCATAGACCAATGCTCAAAATCAGCTTCCCTCTTCCACTCCTTCATGACTCCTACCATAGACATTCTATTTCTTCTGCTTGTAATTTCTTTTCCCCTTCCTATGCCCAGCACATTCTGAATCATTTTTCAAAAGTCAATTAGAATACTTCCTCCTCCCCTGTTAAGCCTTCTAGACTGCCCTAGGAAGAGTTAGTTTTCTGTACTGCTTTGCTCCCATAGCATAACTTTAATTCCTTCATTATGGCCTTTGGCCCCTCATATTGCAATAAATCTATTTATAAATCTATCTCCTACTATTTATTTGCTGTGAACTCACTAGGGTCAGGGAACGTCTTACTCACCTCTGAATCTACAGCCCCTAGTATACATAAAAAGCCCTCAAAATCATTGTTGAATTAATAGTATTTCAGTGAATGACATAAGCATATTTCATAAATGCTCTCATTTTTTTAGTTAGCTCTCCTGAAATCTAATTCTAGCCCCTGCTACTATTTTACATAATTGAAAGTAGAATGAGAAATATGCTAAGCATCACAAAAATCACTCAAAATGGTTTAGAGTTGTGCTAACCAATATGGTAGCCACTAGCCACATGTGGCTATTAAGCACTTGGAACATGGTAAATGTGAATTGAAATGTTCCGTAAATATAAAATATGCACAATATTTCAAAGATTTGATTTTTAAAAAAGAATGTAAAATTTTTCATTAATAATTTTTATATTTATTACATACTTAAGTGGTATTTTGGATATATTGGGTTAAATAAAATGTCTTATTAAAATTAATTTCTTTTTGCTTTTATAATGTGACTACTAGAAAATGTTAAAATTCCATATGTGGCCTGCATTGTATTTCTGCTAGAGAGTGCCAGTTTAGAGTTTATGATTTTATAAGGGTAGTCAGTATGGTTTGGGTAGGAAAATACCGGTCTTGTGAATCAGGAAACCTTTCTTTCTCTCTTTCCTCCAAAGCCACATACCTAAGGCAAAAAGGAAAGGAAGAAGGAAGGAAGAAAGGAAGGGAGGGTGGGAGGAAAGGAGGAAAAAGAAAGGAAGTTACATTTTAACTAACAAACAGCTTAATCAATAAGTTAATATATCACATGACCACACATTTAGGGGATCAAAAAATCCTTATCTTTTCAACTTAATTCAACAAATAGTTATTCAGTCTCCTTTATATGACAATAATTTCTTAAGTGTTAATCAAACACTGAGAAGGCCCTGGCTGTGTCTAGAATTTAATACAGATGGGAAAAAATATTAAATGATAGCTAACACACTAGAACTTTCTAAGAGAAGGCATTATCCAATAGGACCCAGAATGAGAAGGGACTTATATTTTATTAAACTTATAATAGTTCTGACATTTATGACATGCTACCTCAAATTCTTACTGAAGAGAGCTGGAGAAGAAAGAGAAGGGGATACAGAAAGGAAAGGTACAGACAGGAAAGAGAAGAGAGGAGAGGAAAAGGGAAGAGAGAAAAGGAAAGGAAAACAGAAAAAGAAAAAAGTTCAGAGTCCACACTCTCAATTTATAATGATTATTACAGTTTATTTTTTATCAGGATAAAAACATTTCTACCACATTTGGCTGCGTGGTTCTTAGAGGTCTTCTAGTCTAACTTTTAGCCAATTATTGAACTCTGCTCTGACAACTTCAACAAATCAATGGAAGACAAGCTTTGGGAATCTTAATATTTGCTAAGTTCAATCATCAGTACTAATAAGGTCTGTATTGTAATTATGTTCCACAGTTAATTTTTTAAATTTCTTGGTAGTAGAAAGAATTATATAATTGTCATTGCTATTTTAAATGAGGTTCATTTTATAGTAATTATAATGTCAGTGGTTTTATTATTATGCAAATAAAATATCAGGGAAACTTGATTGTTATTTCCTAGATATTTCCTATACAGGTTATTATAACTATAGCATGGTATGGTACAAAAAGTACTGGTCAGAAAATTCAGAGATTTGGGTTTTTGTCAGCCTGGGCTTTTGTTTTTCTTCACCTCAAAATCAGGTAATAAAAATTATTTACCACCCTCAACCCCCCAGATTTGTTGCAAAAGGTATTATTTCCTTTTTAAGATAAAAAGCAAATAGTTCTTTAACGTAATCCAAAGTCGCAATGATCATTCCCATCTCACATAAAAAAGCCTTCAAAATTATCTATAGTTTCCTCGATGTTAATGACCTGAAATCACTACTGCGGAATCAATGCTTGAAAAATATTTCCTCACCGTTCTTCATCTGTTCTACCTCACAGAAGCGCGTTGCAGTGGGAGTGTGAATAAATGCGTGGACATGCTTAACTCCATTCTGAAAATCAGAAAAACAATTGTTTCCAGTAAAATTTCAGCATATGTCATAAAGCCAATTTCTTTAATTAAACTGAAAGCACAAATACGTGAGGTAACCTTTTCAAAACGCTTCCAAGGGACTTCTTCCATGTAGACTTGAACTCGGATGACATGGTTAAAAGAAGAAAGGAAATGCTCACAGATACTCATAGCAAAGGCTTCTATGCTTTTGATCTGTAAAAAGAAAGAAAAATGCTAGTGATCAGAAGTACTTGCCCCATTTGAAAATAATTTTTGAATACCCATGGAGCTCTCTTTCCTGATCAGGTGCTTTTTAGAATCAGAGAAACACAGACTTAGAAAGAATCTTGAGAGATGAATTGGTCCTTATCCCAATTTTTCACAAGAGCTCCTCAGTGTAGCTAATAGATCACCATCACCAGGTAAGACCCTGTCCTGTTTTTAAAAGAAAACTGTTTTACAAGAGAGGATGTGTCAATCAATGGATGAGCAAAAAATAACTTACATTCAGATTCCCCTCCCGGTGGGCTCAGTCACCACCCATGCCAACTACAGTACTACAGTATACTCCATCATACTCCCGTCTCTTTATGAGGCTGGCAAATGGGCCTCCCAGTTTCCCAAGGAAAAATGTTAATGAAGGACCACTTCAGCCTCCTTGCCTTGCAAACAGGCCTTCTATTGACCAACCGCAGCTGTCCACCCCCATAAAGCACCTCCTTACTTCTGTACAAATTCTTCATATTAATCTCTAGGCAATATTTTATGGTCCTAGCACAGTCTACAGATTATTTATGGCTTTGCTTATAATTAAAGTGGACTATTTGTACAGGTTTACTCAGGACAGTTCTGTTTTATACCTATTGTCCCAGAATAAGTATTAATAGCATCTTATTTCATTCCCCAAAGTGTCCTGGTTTGGAGAAGAAATTATATTGTCACTCTATCTATAATGAACGAATTTAAATTGTTTTTAACATCCAGGTCCATTCCCTCACTTTTCTGCACCTCTCACACAGTACAGGAAATATAAAAATCTGTGTTACCTGGCCTTCTACTATAATGCAGTATAGAAACCTATTTTCAATTTTTTTTTAAGAGAGCAATGCCTTTTTCCATTGCCCTGTCTATACTTGCTAGGCCATTCTGATTAACAAGAGAAGGTTCAGGATGGAGATAGGCCTTACAGAAATTATATGTCGATTAGTTTGTTCATTTCATGCATTATGGGTGTGGATTTCAGGCAAAAGCATGAGAAATGAAGCTCTGTGTTTTTTTAGACTTCTTAGCAAATAAAAACATGATCGTGAATTGCCCAGAAATCTGCTGCTGGTCCAGCATAACTTCACTCACATTTAAACCCAAGGAGGAAGTGCTAAAACATCAGATTCTATCAGATCTGAGACCCTTCTGAAGAGTACAATTACCACCATATGTGGATACTAAGTGGTCATGGAGGGGGAAAATTAGGAAGGCATTAAATCTTGGACAAACAGATTTCAAAATGTATCTTATACCCAAGATTTTCCCCTATAGTATCACCAGGAACAGAAATGGTGCTTTCTTCTTCTATAAAATGTACACCATTCTAAAAGAAAAAAATAAATGATAGGACTCAAAGAAATGCATGACAAAAATGTGTTAAGTTCTATTCTGAAATCCTCAGGGCTTTGATTTGCCAATGATCCTAACTAAGAGATAACAAGTAAATTTGTCAGATAGGATTTTCTACCTAAAAGATGCTGTCGTGAGTTGATAACCAAGAAAAGAAAACAACACGGTGATTAAAAAAAAAAAAAAAAAAAAAAAAGCAAGCTTTTCTGTAAGGCTGAGAATTTTAGAATAGAAAAGGAAAAATTTTTAATGGCTCACTGTAAAAATTGGGTAAAAAGTAAACGGAACTTGAAATAAGCAAGTAATATCCTCATGCTATTGTATAGTGAATCCTGCATCAGGATAGGGAGCATCTAAGAAGAAGGACGCATACCCCCTTGAACTTTGCCAAGACATGAACTGTGTTCTTCATGGTGTCTGTAGGGATGACGTCTGAGTTATCTCCATGGAGGTACTCTTTTTTGGAGCTCAGAGTAAGTTGCACAGAAGTTGCCACCTCTTTAATGCTGTGATATTTCCCATCTCGCTGAATATGGAGAACTTTTATCATATCCTTCCCATAGCCAGTTCGGACAAACTCCACCTCATCATTCTGCAATGAAAATATAGTTATCTTATTGAAGAAGGCTAAATGAAAGCAAAAAGTGAATTGCCATTTCTTTAAGCCTTAATTTTATCACATAATTATAAAAGGTGAGAGTCATAGTATGCATGAGACATTTCTACCAGGAGACAGAGTACTCATTTGAAGAAGAATGAGAGAAAAGAGAATCCCAAGAAACAGATGAATATATATCAGGTTGGCCTGGAGACAGACAGGTAGATGGATTTCTTGATAATAATAAGCAATAATAATAATTATAATTACATCCTGGGCCAAACTATTTACTCTGTCTTGTTTAATCCCTGCTAACTTAATCCTTATAACAGCTCTATGAACTAATATTATTCATTTTACAGAGGGAGAAACTGAGGTTCAAGGAGTTGAAGTGACTTGCCCTATTTTACACAGCTAGTAAAGGACAGAGCCAGGATTCACACTCAGGTGGGTTGACTCCAAACTGTGTAATCCTAACCACTATGTAAACTGCCTCTCTTATGTAAATTTTTTTTACTATGTTAACTGGAAATAATTATATCCCCCTTTTTTATAGAGAGTGACATTCTGGAGAAAATGCCCTGTGATCAATAAAAACAATTTGAAAATTGCTTCTTCTATACCTGCTGCCAGGAAGAAGAGTAATTAATGACAGGGTCCAGACTACCTTCAGGAGTGCAGAGCCAGGGCCGTCTGGCTGCAGGGAAAGCTATGCTTTTAGTGAAGAGACACTTAATAAAAGCATGGTGATTGATTCATTAGTACCCTTCTCTGAAGCTGGAGCCCTAGCTAGCAAATACGTCCATTTCCACTGCTAGGATCTACAAGACTTGTCCCTGGGCTTTACTGGTGTTTCAGAGAAGATGCAGGAAGGAGCAAAGGGACAGAAAAATCTATTTTATTTAGTATTGAAATTGAACATTAAAATGGTAATGAAACAAGGTGACAAAAATAAAAGTAAATCAAAACAACACGCAATGAGAGTCCGGGGAGGGTCACACAGAGAAGGAACCTCACCTGCTAATTGCACGTAGGCGATATGCTCAGATATGCCAAACACTGCCTAAAAACCTGTTTGCATAAAAAATCACCAGATCCCCTGGGAGGAATTTTAAAATACTAGCCAACATCAGAAATTTTTGTTATGTTCTTAATCAAAGTGGGGATGCAGAGGCTGTCTTAAATCTTGGGGATAGAGCCTGGTAGGGCATGCTGCTATTGGCCATTGAACATACCCTGAGGATTTGTAGTATCTGAATTTGGTCCTTCTTCTGTGGGAGGGACACATTTAAGGGACAACCCTTGGAGAGGCCCCCCAGAAGCCTCTGACCCAATCTTTGGGGGACTCATCTTCAAGAAAACGGTCAAGGAGAAAACCTAAAGGGCTGACTTAAAGAATCCTAATAAGAACCATGATACTGACAGGGAAAGAGGCACTGTTGTGTGGTTGTAGTGGCTTTGGAATCAGACCAGGTCCAAATTCTGCCTTGCTACTTATAGCCTTGTGGCTTACAACAAATAATTTGGTGTCTCTGAGCCTCACTTTCCCCATTTGTAGAAACGGAGATAACTACCCCTACTTGTAGAGTTGCTGGTGAATATGAAAGGCCTGGATCAGTTCCTAGTACTTAGTGGTGCAGTGAGGTCAACCCCAGCAATAGTGGCCATGTCAGGCCTGGCTGTGGGACTCAGCAGCAGCAGCAGCAGAGATAGCAGAGGGGACCTTGATTAAGGGCATCAGTTTTTGGAGTGGAGAACACTGTTGGCAGCAGCAGGAGGAAGGCTCTGGCACATCTTGAGCCACAAGGGATTCTACCTGGGGGAGGGAGGTACTTGGCTGGCTTGGGGCCCCTGGATGGTATGGGCTGGGATCCAGGACCAAAGGTCTCTGTGATCATCCATCATCCCCAGCACACAGCAGAACTCAACAAATGTTACTCCTCAGTCCCATCCCCTGCCACTAAATACCCAAGCTACAGTAGGTTAGTCTGTGAAAGCAAGTGGTACCTACGTGATACATAGAAAAATTAAATGATAGCCACCCTTCCTATCCCCACCCCTGTTCACCTCTCTAGCTTCATATCCTGCCACACCCTATTTCAAACTCGGCTTCGGCTATCCTGAGTTAATTGTGGTTGCCCAGGCTCTGCATGCTTTCTCTGCCTGTGGGCTTTTGAATTTGCTACTCTTTCTGTCTTGAACACCCTTTCTCTTCCTCACTAATCAATAACCAACCTCTTTACCTGCCTAACTTCTTCCAGTCATCCATCAAATCTCAAATGTCACTTCTACCAGGTAATCCGCCCCAGACCTTCAATTCTGGTGCAGGTGCCCCTTCTATGCACTCTCAAAATACTCTATTATTGCCTTATCAGAGTCTTTATCAAATTATATTGCAATTGCCTCTTCACGTGTCTGATTCGTTCAAAAATGGTAAACTATGACAGCTGAAATAATTTCTATCTTGGTCGCCATGGCAACCCCTACGCTCAGCACAGTACCTGGAACATAAATAGGTGCTTAATAAATATGTAATGAATGAATGAATGGTGCACCACCACCACCACGACACAGAATAGTTTAATGAAAACACTCAAAAGATTTCAACATAGGAAGAGCTGCTTCAGCTCAGACCCCAATCAGGAAGTTCCTCTTCCTGGGAAAGTGGGGAAGGCACCTCCTGCCCTCTGATCACCACAGTGTGGAGATCACAGGCACAGCTGGCCAGAGAACAAAGGCCCAGGAATGGCAGTATTGAGTGTAGAGAGTCAACGATGCAGCACAAAGTGTTCACGTTGCTAATAAGACAGAGTGCTCCAGCACAGCACAGCCGTCCTGGAGTTCATGCATGACGGGAAGGGGTCAGCACTCCTTAGCAAGCTCCTGACTAGGCCTTGGCACTCAAGCAAAGCTTGAGTAATCAGGTCTACTGAGCAATGAGTCAGAATAAAAAGGACATAACCATCTGAGGCTGGAGCAGGATGGAACAAAAATGGTGTGGGACACTGAGAGTCTCTCAGCAGGAACTGACAGAACAGATAATGGCCCCGACCAGAACTGAGGCTGTTCTCCTCAATAAGACCTCCCCCAGCTCTGAAGTCAGAGAAACCAGAAGTAGGTGCCAGAACCCTATTGTGTATAATGCACAGTATGGTGCAGAGATCCATGTCCAAGATAGCTGTACAGTTAAATACGAAGTTGGCTCTCATCTGGAAGGTGGGCAGGTAGCTGAGAGAATGGGCTCTGGGCTGTGGAGTCAGGCAGGGCAGGTGTGAATCTTTGTTCTGCCACCTATTAGCTCTGTGAATGGAGACAAATTTCTCCATCTATAAAATGAGAATAATAGTAGTGCCCATCTCTCAAGATTGCTGTGAGGATTATGTGAGAAAAAACATAAAGCACTTAGAAAAGTGCCTGGCAAAGAGTAAGTGTTCAATAAATATTAGCTATAATTATCATTGATAAATGATAATTACATGTCAAATTTTGCATCAAAGGGTCCTTCCAGTTACCATTAGAGATAAATATCCAGACTGTACACCAATCCAGAGCTGGAGGGGCTAAAATCAAAGATTGCTGCTATGATGAGGCCTACTTCTGCTTTCACACTTTGGTTGTCCTTCCTCAGGCTTGTGTGGCTCAAGGAAACAAAGTTACAAAAGGAAACTCAATTTCCTAGAGTAATACTCTGGACAAAATATCAACAGGAGTCAATCTCTACCTGGCTCTACACAAGAAAAATCTCCTTTTCTTAGGTATGCCTTGAAATATACAGGGATGGAGAATCATTACTTGCAGGCAACAAGAAAGTTGGAGTTGGAGAGAATTCTCAGAGACTTTATGTGAATCTTACGAATTTTCACTTTTGCAACGAGTTAGTGAGTGTTGTCTTATTTCCAGGCCCCAGTGAAAATGATGTAGTTGTCACTACAGGTCCAGGGGTTCTTATCCTGGAGTTTATTAACCTATAGAAGGCCCAGTGGATGTATTTGAGGCAGAAAATTACTAGGAAAGGTATGGTAAAATTTTTATAAATTTAAATTTTATTTTATTTATTTATTTATTTTTCCCCAAAGCCCCAGTAGATAGTTGTACATCATAGTTGCACAGCCTTCTAGTTGCTGTACTTATGACGCGGCCTCAGCATGGCCGGAGAAGCGGTGCATCGGTGCGCACCCGGGATCCGAGCCTGGGCCGCCAGCAGTGGAGTGCGCACACTTAACCGCTAAGCCACGGGGCCAGCCCTATAAATTTAAATTTTAAAATGACTAGAATTTTCTCTTAAGTCGGAGAAGAGCTTCTGTAAGCATCATCTCTATCTTCCATGACAGAGAGACATACAAAAGTGCTAGCTATTTAAGACCCTTCAAACATGCATAAATATATCAATTCAGTTGCAGCATGCTGTGATAGAGGGAAGAACTATACACGAGACAGCCTCTCTCTCTGTCTTTGGAATGTGCTGGAGAAGTTCTTCTAATTCTCTGCCCAGGTTTTTCCTTTGCCTGGCTATTTTCTTGGGCATTCATGAACAAAAAGATTTCAGAGAAAAATGTTCAACTAATATAAGAAAAGGGAGCACTCATATGAACAATCTTAATATCACTTCGGTGGATCTTAATACATAATAATAATAACAATAATGGTGAATAATAATCTTAGAGGCAGCTGGTATTTTTTTGGCTGCCTATGATTTACTAAATGTCAGATTGAAAAATATTGATATCTAGTAGAAATGTCATGTTGCTTTCAGCTGTAGAGTGGCTTATTTTTGCTATCAAGGGAGGATATGCGCTGAGTTATGTTCAAAGTGTGACTCTAAAAGGATTTGTCAAGCAGATGTTTCAAGAACAGTATAACAACTCATACGCATAATTATGGTAGAAAGAAAGGGTGACCTGTTACCTAATGAAGATTCCATTTATAGGTGCTCACTTATTTTCATACTTGTGCCTATTACAAAGGAAGAGAAACTCATCACGAAATGCCAGGAGAAATCCTAACTTTTTTGCCAGGCTCTCCTCAGCACCAATAGCGTTAGGGCAGAGAACTGGAACAAGGCCCTCAGGAGCCTCTAGGATTGGGCGCAGGAAATCCCACAACAAAGAATTGATGGAGAAATCCAAAAATGTGGTTGGAAGAAAACTCTACGAAAATGCACACATTGAAAGATATCTCTTTCCAAATGTTTAGACTTGAAAATAAAAATAACAGTAGCAACCATTTAGTGAGGGTTTGATATGTCAGGAAATTTGCAAATATTATTTCCTCTAATCCTTTACAAGAACCCCGTGCAGTAGGTATTACTATCCAAGTTTACAAAGGAAGACACTAGGGTTAGCTAACCTGCTAAGGTCACACAGTTACTAGGTGACAGAGGCAGGAGGACAACCCAGCCCATTTGCCCCCAAATGACATGCTCTTTCCCACTACATCAGAGTCCCTATATCCCATTGATGGTCAGCCCCTCCACTCATTAGAGAGAGAAAGGAAGCATTCTGATACCAACAGAAGGAGAGAAAAGGCCATGCTACTACAGAAACTTGTATTTCTATACCATTTTTAAACTTCCCACCCATTGAGACCTACATTATCTTATCTATTCCTCACAAAAACCCTGTGATTTGGTGGAAACAATCCCTATTTTAAAGTAAACTAGCTCAGAGATGATAAGTGAGCTGCCCAAAGTCACACAGCTAACAGGCAGACTAGAATAGTGGAAAGAGCCTTGCTAAGATTCAAGAGTCTTATTCTACTTACACTATACTAGGCAGAACTTACCCAACACTGAGAAATGCCTCTTGCCCAATCCATCACTTTTTCTAGCATTTTAGTCATTTAAAAATTACAGGAGAATTCTAAGCTCAGATGGATTCTGTGTTTATTGCAGGGATGTTTAAGCTGTGAAGTAACGGGAGAATCAAAGGGTGATTGCTCTTTGGGGCAGGATGAAAATTCAGCTTCATGCCTTCAACAACAGGGCACTACATTTGAATTGAACATTGACTTCTATCTGCATAAAGACCGTTGAAAACATGAGTGATGTAGGCTTATTTGTGGCCATTAAAATCCTATCATCAAAGGACTATTTTCAGTCCATCTGTAAGGATAAGGAAATAACTGTGTCATGCAAGAAAAGGAAACAAGGTTGGAAGAAACCAGCATTTAATGAGAGCCAGTTATGTACCAGAGGCTTTGCACACAGCATCTCACTGAATCCTGACAGCACTCTATGAAGTAAAGATCATGAAGGTACAGATCATGAGTCTGACCTTTAGAAAAGGAAGCTGACACTCATGAGGTTAAAGGGTCAAAACCACGTGGCTAATGAGAGGCAGGGCCAGGTATGGAACCCAGGTCTGCCTGATTATTTTTACTATAACCAGCTGCCTCCCTAACAGAATATTATAATGAAGTTCTTTAAAATGGGATTTTACCTACATACCCACTTTTGTTTATTTCTCTGATTAGATTTAATTCATTCTAAATTCCACATAACTCCAAAATAGAAGTCTCTGAAAACTTTTTTATTCAATCCATACATTCACCTACATTTATTTAGCTCCTTCTAGGTGACAAGCGTGGTGGTACGTGCTAGAGATACAATAGCAAACAAGGTAGACACTGTTCTGCCCTGATAGAGATTATACACTAGGACAAGTTTTCAGTAAAGAATCAAAGAGTTAGTATTTTAGGCTTTGAAGGCCATATAATCTCTGTTGCAACTACTTAGCTCTGCCATTATAGCATAAAGTAGCTATACATAATACATAAATGAATGGGTGTGGCTGTGTTCCAATAAAACTTTATTTACAGAAACAGGCAGTGGGCCAGATTGGGCCCACAGGAGTTTGCTGACCTTTGCTCTCTTGAGGAAGCCTCAGAAAAGTACCAAGTAATTAGAAAACATTGTAATAATTATTCTAATTGAAAAAGTACAGTGAGCTCTGGGACTGTGCAGGGACACTGAAGCCAGACTGAGACAGAGATCAAGGATGGCTTCCAGGAGGAATTGGCATCCACAAAGCCACCTGAATGATGAGTAGGAATTAACCAAATAAAATTCTCTGGCCTTCTTCCACTTATTCTACTTATATTTTCCTTTAACTATATGTCTTATGAACAATTCTTTATTTTACAAATATCTGAGTCATTTTGCTTGTCTCATCCCTTCTCATCAAAATAATTCAAGTCTCTTCCCCTTCTTCTTGCAACAAGTATGTCAACTTTTTCCTTCAGTCTGTCACATTCTAGATTTTACTTGGTAGTACATCAACAATCTTGCAAAAGTTTGAACAAAAACAAGTCAAACATGGGGCTGGCCCCATGGCCTAGTGGTTAACTTGGACATGCTCTGCTTCAGCGGCCTGGGTGTGGTTCCCAGGCATGGACCTACACCACTTATTGGCAGCTATGCTGTGGCGGAGACCCACATACAAAATAGAGGAAGATTGGCACAAATGTCAGCTCAGGGTGACTCATCGTCAAGCCAAAAAAAAAAAAAGAAGAGGAAGATTGGCAACAGATGTTATCTCAGGGCGAATCTTCCTCAGCAAAAAAAAAGTTGAACTTAGATAAATTTTATGGTATGTAAACCATACCTCAAAAAGCTATTGAAAATAAATAAATAAAGCCAGCAGTCTGACTCCCAGGAGTCCTCACAGGATGACTGAACTTTAATGAAACCAGCACAGACCAGGGTCTGGTCCAATTTTATCTCAGTCTCAAAAAATTCTCACAGATAAAGCTTCAAGGAATATGAACTCATAGCCAAAAATCAAAAGTACACATGGTAGCAAGGTATTGTGAGAGAGAGTCATAGAAACAACACATAGCAAAGTCTGATCTGCAAAGACTTCAGATATTGAAATTATCAGACACAAAACATAAAATCATATATTGTATCATATATATGATAAAATCATATATTGTTTATTTTTATAGAAATAAAAGATTGAGCATATCTTCTTCCTGAGATAGAGCTTATCTTCTCTTGAGCAAGAAGTAAAGAATCATAAGAAAAGACCAAGTAAATTTGAAAAAGAACCCAATAGAACTTCTAGAAATGCATTAACAAGTGAATTAAGAAACAGATTAAACACAACTGAAGAAAGAATTAGTTATTTGGAAAATAATTTATCAATTAAGGAATAGATTCATGTTGCCAAAGAGAGCATTAGAGAACTGGAAGAGAGATCCAAATAAAGAATCAAGGATTAATGTTTATGCACAGGAGATAGAATATATGAAAGAAACATAAAAGGTACTAGAAAGATATGATAAAGAGAATGTGGAAGAGGAAAAATTCAAAGATATCAAGACAGAGATTTTCCAGAATTATTGAATGAATGAATGCAAACCGTCAACCACAGAATAAGAAGCCCATTACCAAGTGAAGAACTCTTCATTGTTCATTATTCTTGGCCAAATTACAATGAAGACACTTTCTACTATTTTTAGAGGTAATCATGTGAAGGTGACATGGTATTTTCATAATATTGTACTACTTGGGCTTCAAAGGTAGCTAATATTGTAAAAAACATTCTGTCCAGTTTGCATTTTCTCCATCCACCAAATTCACTGTGTTTCTTTCCACAACATTACTTTGCTATTTTCGGTAAAAAACTGGGACACACTGAAAACTAGAGTTTAGGGTAATGTTGAAATCCATGGAGCCCCTCAATGTCCAGTACAGTGTTTAACACCTAGTGATTGCATAAGGAAGGTTGTTGACTGAGAATCAGCATGATCAGGTCAGCAAAATTGGGAGATAAGAAAGCTTATTGAAAGCAACATCTGAAAGAAAGTAACCTAACGGCATTTTTCCAGACCTTGAAATAAAATTGGACTTAGCAAAGTCCATCCTAACACTGATGTTCCCCATCCCAATCACAGAAAGGGCTCAAGTTGTAGTAAAAATAATCTTAGCTAACATTTATGGATCATTTACTATTTGTCAGGCACTGTGCTAAGCATGTAATGATGAGAAAGCAGGAATTATTTTATACTCCGTTCAACAATTGTTCTTTAGCATACATAAATGAAAACAAGTTGCTTATATTCTTTAAAAGCATCAATGAATCCTAAGCCTGGTATACTCAGCTATTACCATTGTAATACCAAAAGGTATACCACAATATAAATAAAATTAATTTTATTTCACATTAACTTAGAAAAGTATACTTCATGCTATGAAATTTTTAAAAAAATTAATGAAAGGTTGGGGTTGCTGAAATCCTTTTTCCTAAATGAAGTAAAAATGTATATAAGACAAAATGATACCTGTGGAGGAATGGTCAGAAAAATGTTTCTTGGTTTATCAATTTGGTACATTGTGAATCTACCAGATACAGCATAGCCTTGGCCTCAGGGCAATGAGTCTCAAAGTTTAGAGTGCACAGCATCACCCAAAATCTTGTAAAAAATGTAGATTTCTGAGCCCAACTGGAAGGATTCTGATTTAGCAGGTTTGGGTTGAAGCCCAGAATTCTTCCCTTTTTGCAGGCACCACAGGAAAATGTGGGCGAGTGGTCCAGAATATCCCTCACGAAACTCTGTCTTAGGAGAAATGGAGCCTCAATCTCTCCCTTTCCTATGAACCCTGAGAATCCTGAACAATTCCAGCTCAACCCATCTGCAAGGGTCCAGTTTGGTCTGGATCCCTAAGTGACTCTGATCTGGACCCATAATCAGAGGGACAGATCAGAGCCATAATGATTTCCAGGCATGAGATAAACTGCTATATATTATGACAGCATCTTTAATAATTGATTCAAAAGCATCATGCACTTAAAGAAATTCTTTTCATATGCCTACCTACCCTTTTCCTCCTTCAAAAAAAGAGTGGTCTTACCTTTTTATAGTCGTTATGGTAATGGGCCATTTTCTCTTGGCCTTCAACTTCAGATTCAGTTTCAAGAATGAGAAAGAAGAGTTTGGGCAAAACAGATGTTTACAACATTTTTTATTTGACCTGAAGAGTGAGCGGTCAATATGTTTACCTGATTGCATTATAGCCAATTGGACACCAAGGCCTCTTTAAAGTAAAGCACCACGCTGAGTGGCTAAAACCAGGAGGTAGAGAGGCTATGTAAATATCTTTGGTAAAATACAACATGCTCTTACTTTGACGCAACCCTTGGAAGTGCCCTTTTGGAACTGTTTCCTTAAGATAGAGAATATTACAAGTGATAGACCCTAATTATTACCAAGACATAAGGTTTTGTCATTTCTGTTTAGTGTGTGAACCACAAGCATTTGCTCTCACAGAGAGACAATCATGAGGGAAAAAAAAAACATGAAATGTATTTAATTCAATATGTACTTATCAACAAGGAGTTCCCCTGTCCACTGAACTTCACACTACATGATGTTCACTCCAAAGAGTTAACTATATATCCCTTTTTTCTCTCCAGAACTTTCTGGTGACTTTGCAAACCAGTCAACAATTCAGCACAAAGGCATCCAGAGTCACGCTGGCCTGTTGTGACAGAATCACACAGTTACGTGGGATTCGTCCCGTTCTGAAAATGCCCAAACAGGAAAGAGCAGAGGTAAATGGAATCAAACATCAGAGCCAGCACAGCCTGAGAGAGACTTGAAACTCAGACTCCACAATCTATGGGGAAAGTTTCCTGCTGTGCCATGGAATAAAGGTGACAGATAGAAAATGACAGCAAGACTTCTAAGCACAACCCTTGCTTTGCTCTTCCTTGGCCTCCTCGGGATCCTGGAGGCGACAATATCATGCAGAAATGAAGAAGCTGAAGCTGTGGATTGGTAGGTAAAAGAAATGTAAGGATTGGTGCATGACAGCAGAAAGCCAGAGTGTCGGAGTATTGGTTCACTGCGAAGTTCCTAAGCAGAACTTTCACTCTGACTCTCTTCTCTAAAAAGAAAAGTTCAAGTGTGTAAATGGACCAAATATCCAGATAGTGGTAGGCTTCTGAGTAAGGGAGTTTCCCCCAGAGAAAGAGCTAAGCAGCCCTGCATGGGCCCGATTCACTGCTCCCAGCAAGGCAAGGCTGGTAGCCACAAAGGTGGGGAAGAGCTGACAACTTCTCTCAGTTGGCAATTTCCTTTTACTGCATTCTGGCTTTCCTAACAGAAATCTTCCAGCATCCTGTTAGATACTGACAAAGGAGAGAAGGCAGATTACTTTTTTTCTGACACTGGAGCTTGGACTTCTCCTTATGAGAAGAAGAGGGCTTGATCATACACAGCACTGTATGCTTAACCTCATTTATGAGGTAGCACAGGCAGCTGTTGGAGTGAGTGGTAGGTCACTGGCTCTTGCACAGTGTCAAAGAGACTAAACACCGTGTTGCGTCATAGTCACAGATTCCCCTGAAGCTTTGATCACTTTTTTGTTCCGTAATTGACGGCAAGCTTTGTGTACACTTCAGGCTAGAGAACACAGAGAAGCTCACTCATCAGTCTTTCAGCAAAAGTTACTGATTTCATACCAGGCCCTGTGCTGAGTTTTGAAAATACAAATATGAACAAAACATAGTTCTTGCCCTCAAGGAACTCATAGTTATGTGGTAAGGGCATTGATGGGGCACTGGGGAGCACAGAGCCCAAGAGTCTTCTCTGAGGAAGTAGTTTTGAGCTAAGTTTTAAGAACAATTATGAGTTAGAAAAACAAGGGAGATGCAAGGGCATCTCAGGCCAATGAAGGAGCAACGAGAAGGCCCAGAGGCAAGAAGCAATGGAGAAAGTTTGGAAGCAGTGCAGTATTGATGGCACTTTAGAAGAATGTGGGGAAACACCACGAGGTGAACTTAGAGAGACAGGTGAGGGCCAGGTCATGAAGGGTTTTGCGTACTGAGCTGTAGACTCTGAACTTGACCTCGAAAGGGAGCTATCGAAGGACTTCAGGCAGGGACATGATGTGGTCAGATCTGCATTTTAGAAAGCCCTCTGGCAGTACTTTTGAGGCTGGCTGGCTGGGGACCAGTCTACAGCCATAGGGACCAATAGGACCTTTGCAGCATTACAGGTGAGAAGAGGTGTGGACCCGAGTTAAAGAAGTAGTAGTGAAAACAAAGAGGAAGGAACACTCTGAGAAGACTTGGTAATGGAAGGTGAAGATCGTAGGAGAGAGGGAGAAGTTAAATAGACTTTCAGGTTGTTGGTTTCTGTGACTGTGTGGAGGTGTGCCCTAATAGCAGGGGATGAGCAGATTTGGAATAAGATATTATAAACAATATTTCAAAATTTTTGAAACAAAGTTTCAAAAACATGAAGTGGTGGTCTCTGGAACATCTTTGCATTTAGGTTTATTTGACCTTAGCATGGAAGTCTGGGCTAGAAACAGATTTGGGAATCTTCAGCATATAATTGAAGACGGTCACCCAGGAAAAATGTTTAAAAGCACTAGTTCTCAACGGGGGTGCCATGGCACACTGATAGTTCACACACCCTTCACTGATGGGCCACCAAGTTGTGATCAATATACAAAATTTATTATTGCCACAACTGAATGGACGTATTACTTAGCAACATCTGTCAGAGAGAATGCTGAGCTAAGCAAACAATGAGACACATTCTCAAGCTGCTACAACTTAGCATGAGAGTTAAAGGGCAGAGTAACACCAAGTCAGCACCAAAAAATAATTTCATGTCTCCTCCCAAATGTGAGGACCTTGCCCTGAGAGCAAGAAAGCATGGACAGGGCAGGAAAGAGTTTACTCAAATAGAAGCATAGATGGAAGAGAACCAAGTGAAGAGTGAGAAGCTTTTGTGGGCAGTTGAGACACTGTTGTATGGTGACAGTGAATGCATTACAGTGTTTGCTTCACTGCAAGTGTTTGAGGGTTAATTGTGTGGTTTGTGCTATTAGAGAGTATTTGGCTGACCAGGTTGATTTTTGCCCTCAGAGAACTTTCAACAATGGCTGGAGACATTTTTGATTGTCACAACTGGGGAGTACTACTGGCATCTAAGGTAGAGGCCAGGGATCCTACAATGCACAAGACAGCCCCCACAACAAAGGCTGATCTGGCCCAAAATGTGAATAGAGCACATTGAGAAACCCTAGGCTAGAGGATCCAAGAATGCCTGAATGCTATATAGGCCCAACTACCTCTGCTCCTTCTCAGATAATCAAAAGAGATATACAAATGGGAGACAATAGTAAAGGAAAGCAAAGTGCCTACTTAATTAGCTGGTCTTGGCCCAGAATCCTCAATGTAGAGCATTCTGATAAACTGAGCTGAAGAACATGGCTTAGGCCAGAGGCTTAAGGGAGCCTCCACCTACCCTGAAGCCCAAATCCACATCTCAGACCCAGCCAGCCAGCTGCAAAGAGATGAGCGTGCCAAGTACTTAGGGCAGAAGAGAAAAATACATCTAAGATCTCTCCGGTCCAGGCCTGGGCCTTGGCCTTCTCCCCACTGCAGCCATATGGACTGTGGAAACAACAGAGAGAGCCACTCTGACTGTACATGCACTTCCTCTCCAGGGACCCCACCCAGGAAACCAGTTAATGTCTTAGAACATGTCCAGTTAGATTTGCATTTTCTTCTCTGGGAAGGAGCAAAGATAAGGGTGAAATAAGAGGAAGAGAGTTTGAGCAAATCCCTTTCCTTATAGCTGTGAAACATAAGAGAAATGATAAACTTAAGTGCTTAACACAGTGGCTGCCACTAGGAAAGCAGTCAATAAATGTTAGTGATTTGTAATTATTTCCTTTGTTAGGTTTACCTTTTATAAGTTACCTAAAAGGCAAGACGAGAAGAGTAGAGAGACTGGGTTAGAGTACCTATACCTAGACTCTACAACCAGAAGCTGGAGGAGGAGTAAGCAACTAATGAATACCACCAAGAGTGTTTTGGGGAGGACATTACAACAGCTGTATGAAGCATATGCCTCCAAGGTATGTTAGAGTTAATCATTCATTTGAATCATATAAAATGCATAAAACAGAATCCAAAGCCTTTAAAAGATTTTTCCTGCTCACCCACCTAATCCCAATCCTAGCAACTTGAAGTAAGATAGCTCAGAACTAGCCCAGGACAACTTCCTGAATCAACCTGACCAAGACCTCAGGGTATATATCATCAAACTCTACAGCAATGCCAAATTGTTGGTACATTTGGCACGTGTCCAATGGTATCACTGGGCAAAGTGTGAACTAGTTGCATATTGTAGTCTTCTGGTTCCCAAACTCTGCCAATTCACTCAGTACTTGCTATTTTATCTCCCTAATGGAAATATGGAGAAGAGCCCTCTCCTGTTACACTGCATATAGATTTGTGATCAACATACCATGAGTTACGGGTTGTTTATGCCACGGTGGTGATGAGTGGTGGTGACCCAAGTAAAGGGTCCCTCTCAGTCTTCCTTTAAATTAATCATTTTCAAAATGATAGGTTGAGAGCTAGGGCTCTGGTTCAAGGCCCTAGAACCTGCCTGAATGGAGATTAAACCTGCTATCTGGATTCATCAGGCAATGAGCTAACCAGCCAAAGAGACATAGGCAAGTAGGCCTGCTGGCTCAATGTGGGCAGTCTCCCAGTGTTCCAGGCACCATCTGCTGTTCAGTGACAAGATACTGCTTTCCAACCAGGAGTGAAAAGTAAAATTGAATAATAATTAACATCCAATTACACTCATGCATTTCCTAACATCATATGCATTTCCTAACAATAACTTATAAAGAAGTAAATTTATAAAATGACTCAACACTTAGAATGTGCTGGGCCTTTACATATATCAACTAATTTAATCCCCACAACAATACTGTGTTAGCCTCTACCACTACTGCACATACGTATCTGAGTATTTACTCAAAATGTACAGGTAGCTGTCACTGTGTATGCTAATATTCACTTTATTCACCTGCCATTAAGACCAGCCTTCAGAGCCAAGTGACACAATTAAAACTTGTTTGAGTACATGTGATGTGCCAAGTATGGTTCCAGGTGCTTT